TATAATTCCCATAGATGTGGGAAGTATATGGCACAACCAAGTGTGGACTTAATAGATAATTACTGAGGCCAATGGCATTATTCGATATATTGCAGCTAGCTGAGGCCGAAGGCCGAAGCTGGCTGCAATATATAGAATAATGCCGTTTGGTCGAAGTAGTTATCTATTATAATTACTGACGTTAGTCAAACCTATTGTTCCTTCTCTTTAGATAGTGGCATAAATTATTTCCTCTCAATTGGCTTTTGTTCTGGCTTTATACCCCTTATTTGCAGTTTGGAGCTTATGTGCATACTTAGATGGCTCAGTTCATTAGATTTAATTTCTTTGTGTAGCCTTTTGTTTGATCTTACATACTAGGTTGTGTCGCAATTTAGGCTTAGTTGTCTATTTTTCAAAGCTTTTTACTTGATGACATATTTGAAAAGAAATTTGCATATTTTAATACAGGCGACACAGCTACTTTTTTTCTCATGCGGGTGATTTAGGATAGCTAGTCGAACTGTTTAGAACAAACATGGATGATTCTTCAGATGATGAAAGTTTTTACACTACACAATCGTCGACTGGAAGGAGAAGCGCAACGACAGATATCGACGATCATTTGTTTGATACGACAACCCTGTTCGATGATGGACAATTGCAAAATGCAGTCACCGGTAAAAATACCGAAAAGACAGTGGGCGTGACGAGCTTTGATTTGTTTGAAGGTAGGTTACTGAATTTTACAAAGTATTTAGTTTTCCTGTTCAGTTCTGGCATACAAATCGAAGGTGATCGTTTTCGCCTAGATGGAGAGATTGATGGTGAATTGTTTGAAGCGGCAAGTCTTTTTGACAGTGAAAAAGCACGACATACAGAGACGAATAAAGAAATTCAAAATGCAGGGGCCGCTAAGAGATTTGAATCACTTCAAGGTAGGTTGGTGGGTTTTACTGTATTATTCATTTTACTGTTCTTGTTCTAAGGTAAAAAAGTTCTTTATATTTTCGTGTAGGAAAAAGATTTCGAAAACCAATAACTTCTTCAAAGTGCGAAAGGTTCGGGCAAAGTTGGACATCCGAGGCTAGTCGAAAGAAGTGGCGTTGGGTATTGAGAACCTTCGAAAAATGGCGAGCCGCAAGAAATCATGCCGTGTCTTCTAACAATGAAAGCTATGATGACGAACCACTGGTCAACACAAGTTTAGAGGAAATGTCTGACGAACAGTTGGACTTTTTCCTTGCACGTTTCGTCGCAGAAGTGAGAAAAACAGATGGCGCTGAATACCCTGGGAGAACTATATATGAAATGATAAGTAGTATTCAGGCTTATTTACATGTTGAGTGTAAGCGTAATGTAAATTTAATTGACAAAACAGCTCATGTATTTAGAAATTTAAACTCGGCGTTAAATTTTGTAATGAAAGAAAGAGCCGGGCAGGGTATTGGGGTGGAGACATCGCAAGCTAAATTTATTACGGAAGAACAAGAAAATTATTTGTGGGAACATGGCTTTTTAGGTTGCACGAACGCAGCGTTGCTTAGAGATACTTTAGCTTTTGTGTTCGGCTTACAATTTGCTTTAAGAGCTGGGCAAGAGCACAGAAACTTGAGGCGTGAAAACTCGCAACTTTCCCTACAAGTTGACGAATTCGGTGATGAATTCTTGCAATATAACAAGGATATCAGCAAAACTAACAACGGTGGATTGGCCCATTTGCGTACTAAACGCAAAGTTGTTCGGGCATATAGGAATTTTAAAAATCCAGAGCGTTGTCCGTTTGAGCTCTACAAGAAATATTTATCTCACATTCCCACAACTACGAGCGATAACGCGTTTTATTTGCGAGCTTTGCCAAAACCAAAGGGCACATTTGGTATTATAAAAAAGCTGCGGGTAGAGAAACGTTAGGAAATGTCGTGAAGAATATTATGAAAAATGCTGGGTTTGAGGGGTATTTTACAAATCATTCTCTGCGTCGTAGTTGTGCTACAAGACTGTACGATGCCGGATTCCCCGAACAAGTAATTCAGGAGACTACAGGCCATCGGTCGTCTGATGGGATTAAAGCTTATAAATGTACCTCGTTTTCGCTTAAGCGAAAAGCTAGTGAACTATTGCAAAGTGATCAATGTACTTTTCCGGAGGGTGAAAGAGGTGTAAAATGCAAATATGGCGCTAGAGATTTGTATGAAAACTTTAATGAATCGAGTAAAATGTGTGAGAGTGTTACGTGTGAGGTTGGAACGAGTGTAGAATGTAAAACCAAGACAGATGTGAAACCGAATTTTGATAAAGTAGTGTCTAACTGTGATCAGTCGATTGTTATTAACACAGATTGCACAAAGATAGTTGTTTCGTACAAATGACTGGTTTTAAAGTTTACTGTCTATTGTATACTGTCATTGTTGTATTTATCAATCTAGCGTGTAATAACTCATGATTCTGTAAATTTGTGGTACTGATTATATTGTGTGAAAATGCTGTCTTTGTGATGTATATTTGACCCGTATAAAAAGTATAATTATTTTCGGCTGCAAGACTATGTTGCTGCTGGTCGGGACCCTATGACAATGAACCTATCTAACATGAGACATTGTGAGGACATGCATGTAATGGATCGTGATAGAACAGATTTCAGTTGAATTAATTACCCTATATTAAAATCTCCACAAGCGCAGGTCAATTATATTATAGTGTTCTAATTATCATTAATGATAAGGTTAATTCAAAGAGCGTATTAAACTGGATAAGCACGGGAATAGAACTTATGGTGCGTTCTGCACATGCGTATATCTAGGATAAAATCCCACAAGCGCAAACCAAACTATTTCTCTATAAAGTTTAGCTGAAAGGACTCACAGCGACCGTTTTTGGCAATGCTTCAGGCGCCCGATGATATTATATGAGGGGCCTTTAGCACTGTCATTTTGTCGTTGTGAGATGTTCACGTTATCGCGTGTACTTGTCAGGATGACGAAGGCGCATTATTGAGAATAATGTCATTCTGCACTGACGCACGCTGCATTATTTTTAATTCTGTGTGCACGCTACATTATTTTTAATAATGCTTTGTGCACGCTGCATTATTTTTAATAAAATGCTGTGTTCACGTTGCATTATTTTTAATAATGCTGTGTGCACGCTGCATTATTTTTAATAATGCTGTGTGCACGCTGCATTATTTTTAATAATGCTGTGTGCTATTTTAGCCTGTATAAACATTTACCCCTGGTAATTTCCCTGCTATCAAAAAAGACCGCTCCCGTTTTTCTGAAGAATCTGATCCTATTCATGGTATTCCATTGTATAGTGCAGAGTGAAAACAATAGGTTATTATGACCGTCAGTAATTATTACCATATAATTCCCATATATGGGAATTATATGGGACAACCAAGTGTGTACTACCATATAATTCCCATAGGTATGGGAAGTATACGGGACAACCAAGTGTGGACTACCATATAATTCCCATAGAATTGGTTATATGTAAAAGCATGCCATTGATATGGATTACCTATGGACCAAGTAACCCCACAGTTTTTCCCATAGGATTAATAGCAATGTGTTTGTTTCCATAGCTTTTCCATATCTCAATATTTAACAAATTTAGACACCATACCAATCCCACATGATATCTATATTGTCCCATATCATGCCCACATATGGGTCATATATGGCCCAAACTTTGCCATATCTTTCCCATACTTTTGCTTTGGTAAGGGGGAGTTATTCTTTCCCATGTTAACAATGGTATTGTTGACTGAAAACGCCACACATGCAGTAAGGCTAAGCTCACATTCTTGCAAAGCTGAAGTTATTCTTGTGAATTGTCCTTCAGCTGTAGAAGCGTTGGAGTTTGAGTTAGTGCAGATATCTAAGAGATGGTAACTTACTCCCGATCTACAAAGCAAAAAGACAAAAATGGAAATAAAAACTGATGTTTCACATGTACTGAATATATAAAAACATATAATATGTTTTTGGTTAAACACACAGTTTTTATACCAATTGTATTGAGTTATTCAGGTATTAACATGTGTTTTAGTATAGGTCAGTTTAATAATATGTATAGCATACAAAAGATTGATTTATGGGAAATTTTACCTGGCAACATCAAATATTTTGACAGTCAAAGGGAAAAGTTTCTTTAGTCCTGTGTCAAAACTGGCATCAATAGCAAGAGAAAAAGGGTTCTTTTTCATGGCAGTAATCAACTCTTTCTTGCAAAATGGTGCCATTGCACCATTGAGAACGTTAGTTGTTTTTGTTCTGGCGCATGCATATCCTTTCGCAATCTTGCTGTCAGGGAAAATATTTGAAACCAACTGGTGGCAACTGCGAGTGGCAGGTTGTGTTGCACTAAGAAATTTGTGATTTTGACTTCTGCACGGATTATTTAAATGTAAAAACGCAATATATATTTACCTTACTGTTACAAATGCATGCATGACATATTAATTTATAAATGGAGTTGTTCTCGGACCAAACATAATTTATTTTGACGATCTTTCAGCCACTAGGCTGTGGTCTTTAAATTAACACTACCTTTTCTTTTAAAGACTTGTCAGCTGCTGATTCAAAAAATAATCTTGGCTGTTTATCTTCTTCTTTAGCTCTTTCCTGATGTGATTTGGTGCTTATATGGTCTAACACAGACTTCTATCCACTATGGTCACACCTGATTGCCACTCTACATGCATTACAACGAAACTTGAACCTGTAAAAAAGCACACAAATCACAATAAATATGTCATCTAGCTCAATGGGTTAACATGAAAATATTGTAAGAAAGACACAAGAATTGCATATATATACTGGTCGCTTGGTTCTGCCGTGATGTATTTGAATTTTGTCCAAGACAGATTGAACTTGGTCTTGTATTTGTGATGGCTTTTTTTCTTAATTGTCTCGTCAAGAGTTGACGATTTTTGATCTTCAGTTTTCCTTTTCCCAGTGACTGATTACTGAGCTGGTGTGCACAGCACGGAATGATTTGGAGACCAAAAAGGTGTTAGAGTATTGTTTCCTAGGTTTGTCCACATTATTACTACATCTTCCAAAATATCTCGATCTGGAAATTTCACGGGTGATATTAATTGGTTATACAGCTTTCTGATGACAAATGGACTTGAAACATCAGGATAAATACTTCTAACTGGAGTTTGAAGACAATAATTTGCGGCTGCAAAGAAATGCCAGAGCCCAACCCATGTTGCTAGCTTAAAAGTTGAAATAACATAATCCTCATAACTGTGTATCCCGTCTGGAAACGAATGCTCGCACAATTTTTTTACCAGGTTTTTCATTTGGTATTCGGACATCAGATTAAGCTGTTCGTTGTTGTCATATAAATCTCTATTTTGTACCATTTCTAGCACAACTCTCACACACATTTCTTTATGGTGTTCCTCACACCCATAGATATATTTAGACAAGGCGCGAAAGAAGCAGTTTCCATCACCATAAATTTTAATTGGAGTCATCATTTTCGGTCGGAGGATCATCTTGGGTAAATCTGTAATGCTTCTGAATCTACAAATATTAACATTTTTTAAATCTGACCACTTCATTTCCAAGATTTCATTGTAAAGGTTATCAAAATAGTCATTCCTAGAAATGAATTAAAACAAGATATGCTCCTAGTCATTATGTATTTATATAGGTTTGTATAAGTATTTCAAAAACATTTTTTGTTTTTTATCTATTTCACCTTTTCAGTCATTTTATTATACGTACTAGATAAATCCGATGTGTAGCCGATCTGTATCTGATATACAAACTCGAGCCGAAGGTGAGAGACCCATCTTATGAATTCATTGGCGAAGTAATTTTAAAAATACGAAAATCAAAGTTGAAATTTATGTAAATCAAGACAAACCTTTATGCAATTTACAATCATGCATTGATTAAACATTCGTTTCTTTTGTATTTTCCTCATGAATTATTAATGAGTTTTATAAATAATTATACTAAGATAACAATTACGAATCTGCACGAGCACAAGCGAAATTCAAAACATATTGCATGCATACATATGTGAAAGCCGCAGTTGTCCAATGCATCATAACATTGTGAAATACGCATAGAAACTGATATTTTTCGGGTGAAAGATTTCGAATTCCAATTCAAAATCTTTCACCCAAAAAAGATTACTAATTGATTCAAACCTTCACAGATATTTTCTGTACCTGAAAGTATGGCGTGAAAAATTGTGCAGTGAACATTTAAAAAACTCATTACTATAAAATAATCATTTTGCATGTTTAAAGCCTGTATGGACAGGCAAGAATGAATGCATGTGCTTGTGCGCACCTGTACCACAAACTCACGAACACGTTTTTTCAGTTTTGAAATAAATAACATTTCATGCACAAAGTACAACTTATGCACAAAGTACAACTTATACAAAAAAATAGGTTGTCTGTATGGATCTTACAGTATTTAACAGTTATTCTACGAACTTGAGTCGAATATGAGCTGATTAGAATACTTATGTAGCAAAAACTGCAAGACCATGAGTCCACAGCATGTCATTTACTCAATATGTAAATAGCAAGAAAGTTCATGATAGAAAGTTCATATTAAGAGTTCATATTAAGTATTTAAAGGAGTTCGTCTTAGGAGTTCATAAGAGGCTTCCATTAGTTGTTCATGTTCAGTATCCTCCCATCTAGATGGTTGACACCTGTAAGTAGTTTTCTAAGTCTAACCAGCATTTGTAACCTTTTTCCATGACGATGATGCCCAATATCTGAATATTGCTTTCACTAAGGCCTAAGCTGTTATTTAAAAGGTTGTAAGATGGCACTGCCAAGGTTCCTCTCCAGTTGAAGCTAATAGATGAGACGGTTAGTGATGCAGTGCCACTTACCCTTAAGTCCCAGTTGCGGACATTCTCAGTGTCATAGTATTCTACTTTACGCCTATGTAGATCATTCAGATCAGCATTATCTGCCACCACAGTTACATCAATAATGTAACAAGTGCCCCCTCCTTTCCAAGCGATAATATCAGGCCTACGCAACCCTGTTGGGGTTGGTATGGCCGGTTCTACTAGCACAAACCAATCTTTCTTAATTAAGAACTTAACAGCCTGTGCTAGAACAGAATTATGTCCACTAGCACCACTAGTTCTTGGGCAAACCTGTAAGATGTGTCCAAGAGACTCAGGGCAGCCTCATCTCCATGCTGCTAAGTGTGCTGCACAATCTCTCTATATATCGAGCACTAAATGTTGGTTTAAATAGTAGAGTAGGTCTGCGTTGTTATCAACCAGGGGTTGAAATTTACATTTTTTTGTACTATACAGCCGGAATAGTAGATTTTTATATTTACTATTCTGTCTGAAAATTCACTATTCCTTAATGTACTGTTTCTGAGAGCCTGTTCAATACAATACAACTTTATTTCACTCTTAGATAGAAATATACATAAATAATACACAATTCTTAAATAGTTGATACATAAATAGAATTTATATTTTAAATAACATTTTTAGAGCTTGGAAGCTAAATGAACCGTTAGGTTTTCTAGTTAGCTTCCATTGATTTTTATTCTTATTAGATTAATATAGATTATAATGTCAGACAATTGAAGAAAATATTAATTTTCCATTAGTTTTTGTTCAAAGAAAAGCTGAAGAATATATAATAAGTACAATTTGTATCATAAATGATGCAAATTTCAATAGGTATGTTGTTTAGCCAATAAGTAGGTTTTAACTTGCTTAAAGAAGGAAAACAAAGGTAGATTTTTAGTTATATCTGGGAGATCCTTCCATAAATCAATTGCTCCAAAAGAAATTGCCTGTTTATACATATTTAAATTAGATGAATATCTGGTATTATAACTATGAACATCTCTTGAATATTGGAAGAAATCATCAAATATGTGTGGCAATTACAAACCTTTGTGCCACGCATGAATAAATTTCAAGGCATGTAGGCAATATACATTTTGAACTGTTAAGATATCAAGCAAATTTAGCAATGGGAGAGCACTTGCAGTATCTTTACCAATATAACTTTACAAAAAATATTAACCTGATTGCATGATTCTGTTTCACTTGTACTTTTTGTATAAGGGACGTGCAAGCGCTGCCCCATGCCAAAACCGCGCATAATATATATGGATAAATAACACTAAAATAAATTTGTGATAATTGCTTGATAGAAAGATAGTGTCACAGTTTGGATAAAATGCCAATGCCACGAGATATTCGAAAACATATATATGGTGTATGATACCTCCAGGATATCGTGTCATCTAGCATTATACCCAAATACTTAATATGATACGTTCCATCATTTTTAATTTGTATCGTTGTTGAAAAATATTTTTCTGGCGGCTTTATAATCATATAACTCGTTTTACTTATATTAATTGATAACTTATTAACATTGCACCATTCCTTAACCTTATCAAGTTCAGAGTTCATCAAAGCTTCAAGGGTTTTTAGGTTACTAGAGGTAGCAAAAATATTTGTATCATCGGCAAAAATTTTAAATAATAAATTATCAGAGCAATTTGGAAGATCATTTATATAAATTAAAAACAACAATGGTCCCAGTGTACTCCCTTGTGGAATCCCACAAAACATAGTCTGTCTCGTTGATTCAAAATCTCCAAGTGCTACATATTGTTTCCTATTAGAAAGATAACTTGCAAACCATTGTAGTGGAAGACCTCTTATACCGTAAGCTTCCAGTTTGTTCAATAGTATATTGTGATTCACACAGTGATATGAAAATTACCAAAAAAAAGTAACAAGTAAAATTACAATTACTTCTCCAAAAAAGTAATTATTACTAATTACTTATTACTGTCTTTCAAATGTAATTAATTACCGATTACTAATTACTTTTTTAAAAAGTAATTAATTACTAATTACTTTGAAATTACTTTCAAGTTCTCATGGACTTAAACAACAATAAAAAGGTTAATTCAAAAGGCAGTATTAAATTTGGAGTTCAGCTTTAAAGTAGTGCCGACTCTGGCGACTCAAAATGGTAATCAGTTAACCGATTTCGGTGCGGGCGCATGATCAAGCCTCCACAGCTGAAAAGACGTTCAACAGCTGCACTTGCAGGCAATACGGTGTTCAGCTTCAAAGCTATTTGCTTCAAAGGTGCAGTACATTGTCCATTGTAAACTGTGGCATCAATAATGTTTGAAGCCAAGTAGGTATCCAAAGGCGATTTGGTTGTTGTCTTATTTCACATGAAAAATTCATCGTCATCATCATTTTTTTTTGGAAAATAATAAAAGTGCCCAAAAGTAACGCAAATTACTTTTTTAAAATGTTACTTGTTACCTTCAAAAAGTAATTGATTACGTTACAAATTACTTTCGTGCAAAAAGTAATTAATTAACGAAAAATTACCCAAAAAAGTAATTAGTAATTAGTAACTCGTTACTTTAGTAACGAGTACTCACATCACTGGATTCACAGTATCAAATGCTTTTGCAAAATCTATGAAAACTCCACAAGTATACAAATTTTCATCGATTGACTTCCTCAATGTTTCGGTAATTTCTGTTATTGCCTGTGTGGTTGAATGTCCTTTACGAAAACCAAACTGAAATTCAAAAAGGATGTGTTCTTTCTCGACATAAGACAAGAGTTGCTTATAGACCAACTTTTCAAAGATTTGGGTAAACACGGACAGAGTTGATTGAGCTGTGATTGATTGGTTGAGCTTTAGTTAATTTAACTCTTAATTTTTAGTTAATTTGACAACTGACCGCACGAAAATGCAGATTTGTAATGTACAGCTCTTTTTTGTATGTCCAAGCTTCAAATAACACTTACCACACATGGAAAGATTACCCATATTTTGGGACGAAGCCCGAAGAATTTTTTCATCAAACATTTCAAGCTCGTGGAATCCTGTTTTTAATTCTTGTGAAATCTTATTAACCGTTTCTTTTTGTTTTACGGCGTATCTTTCGAGCGGAAGCATTATACGAGGCTGTTCCATTGCTTCGATTTCTTTGTCTCTATCGCCATCAGTATCTAAATCATCTTGGTTTTGAACAGGGTTAAGAATTGATGTCCTTATGTGCATGTGCTTTTCCAATAGAAACGTTTCTTGAAGTACTGGCTGCGCTGCTACACATGGAGCTAATTTTTCCTTTGATGGGGGCTTTGTCACAGGATGAAAACGAAGTACACACGCTGCTGGCGATTCGAATTCTATAACATTGATCTTTATATTCTTTTTTTCTGCAACAGGCCTCTGACTTGGTAATTAAAGTACAAAGGTGACAAATCGACTTCAACTTTGTCCTTGTCCACGGTCCAATGCAGAGAGACTGCTTTGCTTAAGTGTGGGACCTCTTTTAAAATTTGCATTTTGAACTGGTCAAATGAAAAGTTTTCCAGTTCTTCTTCTCGCATGTACACAGGTGTAACACATTTACTGGAGTAGTAGTGGTAAGTCACTTTTATTTGTATTAAATCCATTTTTAATGGCAACGATGAATATAATAGACTCATACAAACAATATAAATTTGTGTTTGTTTGTCAGGGAATAGCGGAAGTGGCAACACCTAATTGTGTACCTGGAAACACATGCTTATATACCTAGAAACGTCACGTTCGAACGCCAACAACGAACGGTACAAACACTTCTGTTAAACGCTCAACCTGAATTGGCTGTATATCGTTGCTGCATTTTTATATACAGGGTGTATAAAAAAACTGAACAGATTTGAATTTACTCTCAATTTCGTAAAACAGCTATTACTATCCAGTTTTTTTTTATGTATATAGCATCTTTGGGTACTTATAAACATAGAATAATGAAAAAACTTCTCGGACTTAAATTTTGTGAACCAGGGGGGGGGTGTCTTTTCCAACAAGCTAAAAATGGCTTGCGCACAGAATTTAAAAGCTTTAATCATATTTTGAGTTAATAGATGGAAAATTTGTTGGGTTTTTAGTTACTGTGCAAAATTTCAGACAATTTGCTTTAGTTTAAGCCTTTCACATGTTTAATTAATGCATTTACCTAATTTGAATATTGCTGACATATGCAAATTAGCAAAGTCATTAATTAAGCATGCAAATGGATGATTTTTTGGGGAAAATGTAAGTTTGCATAAATAGTTAAAGGGGCTTAAATTAAAGCAAACTGTCTGAAATTTTGTACAGTAATTAAAAACCCAACAAATTTTCCATTAACTCAAAATATGATTAAGAGTTTTTTTTCAATGTCGCATAACACATGCTCAAAACTAATACCACTATATACCACTTGAGGTTATGACTAAATTCAAAATTTTTATTTTTCGATACGTTTATAAATCGGCAAACAAACTTAAAAAGTATCTTTAGTGCTTTACCTGTAAAAGAATGCTAAAATGAAGAGATTTTAGATGATACGCCAAAGAGAAAATGATGTCTGAAGTTCAGTAAGTTTTGCTTATATGGCAGTAAATATGGCATCAATTTTAAAGTATCAGTGATAATTGTATTTTAATTGACAATTTTTAACTATTATTTTATGTTTCTCAACTGGCAGATGCATTTAAAAAGGTAGCTTACTCTATAAACTAGAGAACAAAGCTAAAACAAAGTAATTTTGAGAGGAACGCCAAAACGATTTTAGGTTTTAAACACTTTTCATTGCAAATACGTGACATTGAAAGTAAAAGAATGCTAAAATGAAGAGATTTTATATGATACGCCAAAGAGAAAATGATGTCTGAAGTTCAGTAAGTTTTGCTTATATGGCAGTAAATATGGCATCAATTTTAAAGTATCAGTGATAATTGTATTTTAATTGACAATTTTTGCTGCCGAAGGCAGCACACTATTCTTCACCAGTCCATTTTCGGTTCGCGAATTATATGCAGCCAAGAAGTCAATTTGGGATGTTTGTACATACGGAAAGATGATCAGATTTATGACGTTTTTTGACGTCACAGAAATTTAAAAAAATATAACATACTCCAAATTGCAATTTGACTTTCCAAATACACTAGTCGGAAACTCGTGAACAGCACCGTGGACCATGACAATTTGTAAACATGTTACATTCTGGCCTATGAAATACAGCAAGCTTTCAGCAGGCACGACTCACAAGTGGCTTAGTGTAAATTTTACTTTATGTTCTGGCTGTTTATCGAAATATTTTTCAAGGTAATATGAAAGTTTGATCATAAATAACAATATGTTTTGGTCCAAGTATTTTGCCCGTTGTAAGGAAATATGTATTTACAAGTGGAGCTCGACAGCTCGTCGATTGTCAGTTTGTAAAAAAATCTGATTGAGCTTGACAGAACATTGTACTTCAAGGAATATTAAAATAATCACAATCCACAGTGTGACAGTGATAGTTTATTATTAATATTGTGCTATTTGGTCAGATCTGCAACTTCTGTGGTTGATGTGCTTTATATCAGCAATTCATTTATGACATAACATATAAACTTAACACGAGCAAAGCTGTCATGTCATGTATGTTGCATCGAAAAAGCACGAGGGTGGAATTTAATGCTGTTTCAGTGTTTCAACCATTCTGCAAATTGGTGAATCTCATCTGGGAAATTTTATTTTTGAACGTGTAGAAACAAGTAAACAGCATGTGGAATGGAATCTACAATAAATTGCAAATGTTGAACATGCATAAATTTGTTATATTCAAAGGAACAATTATTCTGATGCTGCGTTACTGTGTACTCTGCCACCATGGAATAAAAGCCGAATGTCTTTGTGAATTGTGACTTGAATACCGCCGAATCACGTGTCATGTTTAATAATATGGAATGAAATTGACATGTTGCATCGAAAAAGCACAAGGACGGAATTTAAGGGCTGTTTTTAATGTTTCAACCAACTGCAAATTGTTAAATCTCGTCAGGAAAATTTTTATTTTTGAACGTGTGGAACAACAAGTAAACATGCATAATGTTTGTTTATTTGAAAAGAACAATTGTTCCATGTTGCTGGGTTGCAGAAACCTGTTTCTGAATTCTTTCATACTTGGCCAGGAGCTAGGACCTGTACCTATGCCTATGGTAGTATTGAGCTCATTGGGTGATACATTATCTACAAACAACGTGATCATGAAGTTTTATTTTCACTTAATAACAGAACAATGACAGATTTCAATTACCACATACATACAGTAGTGTTGATGAAATGTCAATTATATACAAACAACTTATTGTAATACACCCTTTCAATAATTATGTCACAACTACACTGTTTTCAACTTAGGACCACCTTAAATGGAAAGGATTTCACATGGGACATGCACAGAGAAGTAGAACATCCTTGTACAACAACATGTGCAAAAGTTTTGGATTCCGATCAATATTAAATATGGAAATAACCATTAACATGAAAACGAGGCTCCAGCTCATGACCTGGAGCCTTGTTTTCGTGTTAAAGCTTGTTTCCGCATTTATTGCCCAAAATAAAGAATTATTTTTCATGCATGTTGGTTCTAAGTTGAAAACGGTATAGTTGTGATGTAATCATCGAAATTATGCCTTTGAACAACAACCAATACATATTGTACAGTAGTATTAAATATCAAAAATTCAAAACGTCTCGTACATAGTACAAATAGCACTATGATGATAAAGTTCTATAAACACAACAAAAAATCAATATGCAACCAACAGTTAAGTTCTATGTTCTATATAAAATGCAATCACTGTATTTGCACAGAAAATGCTGTCTAGTACTGTAATTTACCAGTCCATTTCAATGCTTTGGACAATATTGTCAATATTGTCATAAGTTATGCTATAACTAATTCCACTTTCCTCCAAAATGTGGTTCACAAGGTCATCTTCTGTTGCCGCTTGTAGATCAAATGACTTACCAATAATGCGGAGAAGTTTTTCTACATTTTGATTGAATATTGTTAGGCGAATCTTAGTGGAAGGCAATTGTGCATTCTTAAAGAGGACTCTTACACACCATTGTGCATCACATGACTCTATATTTTGCAACAACTTGCAGTTTTCATTGCTGCACTGCACAATCTTTCTTCCAGGAATTTCTTGCAATGACTTACCGCAGCTGCTACAGCATGAACGTTTTGAAATACTTTGTATTCCAACAATTTTGCCAGAAACATCGGATGTTGTCATGACAAGATGGCCTTTGTCAACTTCTACTAATGCTTGCTCAAATGGGGTGGTTTCATCAAATAAAAACGTTTCTGTATTTGCAGTATTCAGGTACCTGTCTCTATTTGTCACTTTCAATCGAAGGTTTTTGAACATATAGGTTGTTCCAGCTTTAAGGGTATCTACATATTGCTCCCACAAAACAAGTCGTATGTAACTTGTGGTGTCTCGAATTGTGACTTCCTGTTTTGTAAGTTGTCCCTGAGACTGAGTGTTGACTTTTTTTGTCCCAGAGATCTCAGTGACCTCTGCCTTCAAGTTTACAAGCTGATCTTTACCAAATTTTTCAAGAGCTGAAATGGTTGTTGTTGGTATGTTTTCACTACCAGTAATTGAGTAATGGAAGTTGATATCTTCTTTGCTAAGTGTTGTTATTTTTGTGTATTTGGACATCACAACTTCTGGCTTGCCTTGGTAAATCTTTGTCTGAAAATTCTTAATTGTCACAGGTGACTTTGACTTCCCCAACTGCAGGACATTGTGTCGCATTACACCATTTTCTTTTTGCAAGTTGCAACTGAAGTATTCTTTCCCTGACAGTGCTCCCTTTTTGACGGGTGACACATTATGAATATAAAAATTTAATTCGTTGTTGTTTGTATTAGATTTAGTACCTAAGAGAAATAATAATAAGACATTATAAAATAAGAAAACTTAACAGAAAGATAGAAACAGAAGTATGCATGGGGGTTTTGGACATGTCCTAATTTTAATTTCATGTAAGCTCTTTGTAAGTATTTGTGAATAATTATTTTTTATTATTGGAATTAATAGTATACAGCCAGTTTTTGAATCAACCCCACCCCTTTTAATTAACCCCCACACGGTGGGCATAAAAGACAGCGAATTTGGCCAAGTACATATAATTTTCTCTCGTTAGTTTGGAATATCATGAAACTCCCTCACAGGATAGAACTTAACATTCCTAAAAATCGTATGTTTTTTGTTTTTCGATTTTGTTACATTT